ACCCCACCACGAAAGTTACTCCGCAGGTGCGGCCAATTTGTAGACGCACCTTCATCAGCCTCGGGCTAATGCACTCCACCGTCCTACCTTCCTCGCCCACACTCTCGCACATGGCCTCCTTGATCGCTATGCCCACACCGTGTACGACCCTCTTGTCCTCGGTGCCAGCACGGGCGCCACTCCAGATGATCACGTACCCGTCGTGTGCAATTGAACGTTGCCCCTCTGCCCCTCTCGTCGGGTCTCCTGAAGTCCTATCACATCACAGCCGGTCGCGGAACAGATCTGTATGACCGTCATCACGTTGTGGCCGATGGGATTTCTACCGCTGTAGGCGAGCGTGCGTACGTTGAACGTGCCGAACAATAGGTCACCCTCCCGTGCCTTCTTCTTCGCAGCCGTCTTGACGTCCGCTCCGGTCTCGTGTCTCTCTCGGTCCACCTCGCGTTGCGGGTGTGCTTTCTTCCGTATTTCCGACCGGCGAGTTTCCCCGCATCTATGCATCTCTGCAGAGCTCGGTTCTTGCCTGTGGTGTTTTGACGAGGAGGGTGCAGCACTCCCTCCCCGCGGTGCCCGCGGTTGTCTCCCTTCTCCCGCGAGCGGTGCTTAATGCTCTTAGGTGATTTTGAAACGCTTTCCTCACCAGGGCTTCCGCAAGCTGCTGTTTCCATTCATGCAGAAGAGCAACCTGTCTGGACCCAGCGAGTAGGTCGCGTGGAGCGATGCCGCCACACAAGATGGTCTTGGATGCCGTCCGGTTGGCCTGCGTTTTCTCTTTGCTTGTTGTTGGAAGTGACACGGTGAGTTCTGGGGCTGCTGGCTGCCGGAAACACGGTTGGTTGATGCTACGACGGTGTTGTGACGAAAACGACGTCGACGCTAACGGGTGGAATATCGTAGTGTTTTGCTTGGAGGCACTGGAAGCATTTGAAACCAACCCGTGGGAGATAAGTACCTTGCCGTACCTTGCCCCGCCCCCTCTCAAGCCTCGTCCTGCTGTTGTTGGTCACTTTGTTGCTAGAAAGAGGCGAAAGGGAGAGCTTGTGTCTCGCCCTCGCTGTTCCTACTCCCATCCGTGTATGCCTGCTCGGAACGTGGAGTTTATCTGCTAAAGAACTGGCTGGCATGGCAAGAGCGAAGTACGCGTTCAATCTTAGTGTCTTAATGACCAAAACCAAGGGTGACCGATGAGCTCTTACGGAGACGCTGGAGGGTTCCGACTGCGATGGCCTAAAACATGCCTCAAAGTTGATCATGACATCCGAACGGTTGACGCTGAAGCAACAAACGTCTATTATACTTTTTGCGCAGTCAGTGCGGTCGTGAGAAAAAGTTAGCCGCCATTTTTTTCACAAGCTTCTGTCCGCCTGCGAGAGCGGGTGCTGACTAGCGGACTAGCTAACTAGTTTTCGCAGGTTGTGGAAAGCCTTCCGCTTGCGTGCACCCGGTAGGGCCGTGACACTTGTTGGTGAGTGGTCTTGAGAACACGGGTAAGGTAGGCCACACCTTGTTGTACTGCTGTACTGCTGTATAACCACTCCTTGCAACTTGATGGAAGAGTTAAGAGGCGCAACCAACCATTCTCTGTTGATGCTGCTGTTTCGTCGATTTTTTCTCCTTGCTCCTCGTCTGCAGCTCTACGCGAGGAGTGAACCCGGGGAGCCGCCCGAGTACTGCACCGTCTTCCACCACATGGTGAAAAGCGCGGGCTCAACCGTCAAGAGCTTGCTTCACAGTGGTACACGCAAGGAAGGTCTCCCGAGACCAGGTGCGACTTATCATCTTGTGGTGGTAACATATATACGTACAGTTGTACCGTATGCTAATTACACCGCATCCGTATGCATGTACTAGATATAAACGTGTAGTCTGAGTACAAACACAGAAAGTATCAATCGGAAGATCGAACCGCTTCTACGCTTCTACGCACGTGTGTCAATGGTGGCTTTTGGTGTTGCATCAGTTATCAAGCAACTACTGTCCGGTGTTCCGCGGCCACCTCCGGAAACAAATAAATTCGTTGACCCCCCGAGTAAGTACCCAGTCCAGCATTAGTTACGTACAGGTTCTGGGTCCAGAAAAGACGCGTCCGCTCATTGGGAGATGCGGTACAGTCCCGAGGGCCGAAGGCTGACTTGGCTTCAGTGTGGAAAGTACCCCACGGGGGACACTTTCCTTTCTGTATTGAAGCCAAGTCAGCAAATTTTCCAGTACTAGGCTATGTATGTATGCAATACAGTTTTTTCAATCAGTTTTACCAATAAGGGGACCCGCGACTTGGCAGGTCGTGTGCAGCAAGTCAGAGGCCCAGGAGAGGCACACAACAGGCATCGTACATAGCAGCATGTCACACGGCGTACCACCTCATACAAGCATGCTAGACCAAGGTTTCCCACGCACGTTTCACGCAGCGGAGCATATTGCCGACCACGGTGCTGTAAGCAGGAGTTTGAGTGCTGTGTCCCCCCCATGTGTTTGGGCTTCCAGTACCACTGCTGTAGGAATGTTAAGCACCATTTGTCCCAGCCAAACCACAATGGCATGTTTTAAGGGGCTACGCTAGTCTACAAGATGTAGCCTACGAGGTCGGGAGGTGTCGGGCCGAACGCTGATACGCGCCAAGGAGCGTCGGGACGTCAGAACACCTGAATTTGGATCATCACACATCGCGAGCTGTTCATGCATGGAAAGGAGCATTTATTACTACTCCGGAGTAGTTTGTACCGATTGAGATTTTCCTGGCGCTCCAACGAAGGGTAACAAAAAATGAAACAAAAGTACATTCCCAGCATAGCATGCAGAGAGATGCACCAAACGGCTACCACACTGTCTTGTTGACCCTGTTACCCACGGGGGAGATGTCGCTGCATGCTGCTCGGGAAATCATGGAAACACAGGTAGCCTTCACTATCGCTTTGGATTCATTGCTATTCTGCCTTGGACTCTTTTCCTAGATAGAGATGGATTCGTTGTGTCATATTAAGAAAAACAAAAGTTCTTGTACACCTAGTCGCGTGCTCAAAAGTATAGTCTACACTGTTACGTACGCGCTTGTAACCCTCCTAGTACCAAGCACCCAGCTACAGGTTCTGGGTCCAGAAAAAATCGCGTCCACTGATTGGGAGAGGCTATACAGTCCCGAGGGCCGAAGGCTGACTTGGCCTCAGGATGAAAAGTGTCTCCGAAATGCACTGGGTACACTTTTTGTACGGAAGCCAAGTCAGCATATTTTCCAGGACGATAATAAGTACAGTGGTGGGCCCTGTTTGGTGCCGGAAGGTGTTCAGAGATTTTACTGGCACTATTGTTCCGGACACCGGCACTATTCAAAGCAATGAGAGACTTGGTCGTTCAGCGTGTGCGAGGTGAACACACCGGCACTATAATAGAGGGCCCACTACTCTAGGGCGAAAACAACGCACACTTGGCTATCTACGTGGTACAGTTTTAAGTAAGGGGCCCGCGGATTTGGGAGATCGTGTACAACAAGTCAGAGGCCCAGGAGAAGCACACAGGCATCACACACAGCAGTTTTGTCACACAGCGTACCACTTCACACCAGCATTGCGCTAGACGACGGGTTCCCACACACTTTTCACACAGCGGAGCATATATATATATCTTTAGTGTCGACCACGGTGCGGTCAACAGGCATTTGATGAGTGCTGTGTTTCCGAAGTGTCCCCATTTGGCCAGTACACTATGCATTGGAGACACAAAAAATCTCAGAAGCAGGGTGCCCCGCAGATGAAAAATGTAGAGGGGGTACCGTTTTCATCATACGGGACCCCGAAATGATGCTGAAGAACTGCATCTCGACAAGTTTTTCAACGTGTAGACGACGCCAAAGCAATAGAGTAGATAGATAACAAAGCCAAAAACTACCAAGGCACTGTTGTACATCAGCACCAACCACAGCGGGCATGTCGGAGGGGGTGTTCAACATGGTGGGCCTCGTCCTGCAGTAATGTACCCACTGCTGTTCTGAACAATATTGTGGGGGGAGGAGTGTTGCAATGCTAAGGTGCCACAGCGAACGACGCTGTATGCATATTAGGACGTGCAACTTCGAACCACCACCACCACGTTGTGATCGTCAAGTTTACAGTACTTTTCGGGCGGCTAGTATCCGTGCTGCAATTGGGCGACTTATGACGTATGGTACTCCTCCATTGACCCCAGGGACGGTAAGCTATCACCCCCGGACTCATAAACTTCCCGGCGTTAGAGACACTCTTCACTACAAAACCGTGCGCGGCTTACAGCGGGGCCGGCTGTACTTCGAGTGTCAATGATGGAATGACCAGGAAAAGTACGTGCGGATGTGAAAGCCGACAGGTAGTTGCCGTCGACTCGCAAGTTGGAGATCAACGGCGTTTTGTCTGTCGTTAATTTCGGAGTGCGAGCAACAACGGTCCTACCGACGCCACAATGACGTGAAGAATTCGCTCTTCCTCGCCGTTCTGTTCTCCGGTGCAGCGGTGTGCATAAATGAGCAAGACAGAACAAACGCTTGCTTGGAAGCTATCAACTCTTCTGCGATCATCACGGGATACGCGGAACTTATAAGGCGAGTGTCACTTGCTTCTGTTCGATGCTTTCGATTTCGATGGTGTTGCGGTGCAACGGAATGCTGTATCATATACTGCTGTTCGGATATACTGAGACAAAGAAGAGTGGTTCGTCCAAAGGCAGGCGCCCAGCTTTGGGCAGAAAAAGCCTGACAACGTTGAACAGATTCATGATTGCCTCGTATTAATGTATTAGTTGAGTCTTTTTCTTTGGGGGGGGCGGGGGGCCGAGATCAGATTGGTTTTCCGTCGAAATGTTGCTCGCTTTTCCTCCCCCGTCGTCCCAGAAATCCTCTGGAGGTTGGTCAGGAGGAAACGCGAGTACTTGAAGGTTTGGTGACACCCCATGTTATGCGCGTATATGGAACGACCGTAACGTTTGATTTCCGTTTTCGTCTCCCGTGATCCCAGATATCCCTTGGAGGTTGAGAGAAGGGAATGCCAGTACTTCACGATGTTGAGACACCCCATCGATCGCCTGGTGTCGGCGTTTTTCTACTGCCCAACGGACCACGATGTCCAATTGAGGCCTCGGAAGGTATGTGTTGTAACGTCCCGCCGATAGCATGGCGGCAGGCTCCGCCGAACTTGAGTACAGTCGAGGCTCCGATATTCGAGTGTACCTTGTAAGAGGGGGCTCCGATGTAAGAGGGTCGAAATCTGTTGCCACGGACTCGACCCGCTATACTGTAGTGAAGTTGGGTACCCTCTGAGAGGTGACTCCGATTTATGGGGGTCGAGGCCCTCTGTCACGCCACCCTCATACATGGGGTCGCGGTTTCGGCGTTTTGTCATCTGTAGCATATATCACGGCCGCCATTAAGCTTCGGTCGTCGTACCGTTCACCCTCTAGGGGTCAAACTAACGGTGAAGCACGCTACCGACGCACGCGACACGTTCGCAGTGGTGTGGGCACGAGGAGCACCCGGTGCCGGCGACCGAGCGCCTGCTGGACTTCGCGCAGGAAAGCTGGCGGAATCAGGCGTTCAAGCAGATGACGTTCGGCTTGTACTGCCCCCCTGACACCTTCTGCGAAGTGGCGGAGGTGAGGAGTGATCTGGTTACTACCTCGTGAACGTGTTCTGCTCGCCTCTGTGACTTGAGCCTAGACAGGTGAACAACGTGTCGCAGTGTGAGACTTTTGTCGTGGGCGTTGGTTCGTTGGACGGGCTACGCGAGGTATTACTAGGAAATGTAAATCGTTTATTCAGATTGCATTTTTTTTCTTCTTGGTTCGTTTATATTCGCTGGGGTCTTCGAATCAAGAAGAAGTCAGCTGTGCGAGCTGTTCGAGCTACAGAAACGTCACTAATCGCACCTGGCAGCTGATTCACACCAACACATGATTTGCTTTCATCTTGCATCACCCCTTGATGACACTGTGCTCTCATGAGCCCACTCTTGAGGGATCACTTGCCGTATCAATATTCTAATGTTTGTTGCGTGCGTTTATCTGTACGTGTGTGGCTCATCTGGGGTTGCCGCAGGTTGGTCCACCGCAGATGCTGGACGAACCCGGTATTCTAGATGTCCTCCAGCAGGTCCAGGTAGGGCTTGCAAATCCGCTACTTGTTTCCCGGTATACACAATTAGCGCCCGCGTCAAGAAACGTCAGTTTGGGATCGAGGCTCAATTTCTTATTTCTTCGTCACCACCACCGAGCACAGGCCATGATACAGAGTTTGTTTCGTATAGGATTCACGGCTGAGGTGTGTTTGTTGGTATATTTTTGTCGATTATCGCCAGTATCTGAGCCTCTGTTTCTAAAAGGTTGGCTTGCTTCTTGATCACTGGCCCTTACTGTAGTGTTGCTCGTAACAAGGAGTAGGGAACACAGTGCACGGGGGAGTCAGCCGTAAGATATCCTAGGCTGTTTTGGGCCGCCTTACACACACAGCGATTTTGCTTCCAAATTTCCATTTTTTTCGGTGCCGGTCGTCCAAATTTTCCAAATCTCCAAGTTTTCCCTGGGCCGCACAAAATCGAGGCTCAACGGTCTACGGATTTGGATAATTGGAAATTTGGAAGCGAAAAATCTGCTGTATATAACGGCCCTTACAGGATGCTCAGGAGCCCGAAGTTGCGCATTCTCCCAGCAAAGAGGGCATGTCTTACCGTAGGCAAGTGTGAATCACCCTTCCAGTGGTGCATATGCTGTGTTCAAAGGCACCTAACCCTACTTTTTGCACAAGTGGCTCCTACGGTACCCATGATATTATCGGCGTCTTGGCCGCTAAACCTATACCACTAGGAAGTGAGACGTGCTTGTGGCTGTATCTCGGACGCTCGCAGGACATCTTGGCGGGATATACGGCAGTGGGTATTATGGAACACTGGGACCTGTCTATGCAGCTCTTCAACGCGCGCGTGCGGTCACCCGTGCGTGAGTGGAACGTGTTCAAGCAGAGAAATCCGGGGGTAATGACCGGGCTTCGCGATGAGGTGCTTCAATGGGCTCACAAAAGCCCGGCCATTCACCGCGTAATAGGAACAGATATGTTGTTGTACTCCTTTGGGCTGTCCATTTTCAAGCAGCAGACGACTGCATCACTTGGTACGAATTGGCTCGAGATGTGATCTTCCTATGTCACGACCGCACTCGCGAACATTTTGTATGCCCGATGGTAGCTGACTCCCACGAGCGGTACAGTGTAGTTCTTTTTCAGATTGTTGGGGGTGTATGATGCTGTTTCGCCGTTCCTTCGGAATGATGTGTGGAGTGTTTCCCGATTCGCCTTATATGCGGTGTGAAGACTGTTGCGACCGAAGCAGTGATCACGATGGTCTCGGTAAAGAGGCGACTAATTGTTTGTTCCGTTTTGAGGCTTTTTTTTATCTTGTGTCCTCTTGTGTCGAGATGTAGACAAAAAGAGCGTGATCTCTTGTACCTGGCATCGTATTGGATAAGAGGTCAGCGCTTTACTCTCTCTTGAAGAAAGCTTGGTACTGAAATGTACATCGGTTGGAGCGTAGCGATTCTGCCCAGAGGGTGTTTGTGTTGTGTAGTATTGAATTCACCTTGTTGCATACGGCGACAGGCTGCAGAAACCGTAGAAAAAGCATGGCAATGGTGTCATGTGTGTGTAAGTTGGTGAAATTTTGACGTCCACGAACCTTTTTTGACCCCCCGTGGCCAAAGGTTCACCTCGTACCTACTGGCAGCAGGTTGTGGGTTCGATTCTATCTCTGGAACGTTTTATTTGCCTACAACTAGCTTGGGCAGACCGAGGTAGATAGAAATCCAAGTGTTTTGCTTCCAGGCGCGCAAAAAACTACTTGTACGTGTGTTTGTTCTTGTACTTGTTTCTTTATTTCAGTTCAGGGTGTGCCATACAAATATGCGGTGGTAACCTACTAAATTCGCGAATGAACGCGTGTCTACACACTTGGACTTGCCGGTCGACGGGGGACGGGGACGAGTGGACCCTTACCGCACCCCGACACGGCGTTCTTCACGGGTGACGTATTGTTTTGCCTGAGGGAATGATGAATTTATTCGGAAATATTTGACTGTCGGCGAACGGAACACTCAGCATAGTCACGAGCTCCTACATATTTCCGCGGTTTCCGTCGAGCATTGGGTCACGCGCGCAGGGGCGTGACGCTACTTCTTCTCCAGGATTTTTTGTTTCGCCGAGAATTGATTCGAGGATGTGGTGAGGATGTACGGATGATAGTCGTGTGGTTTCTCCACCATCAACGCGCTCTTGGCGCAGGCATTTACGGCGTATTCTAGTGCCGGTGTTTCATCAGTAAAATCAGGTCAAACAGGTTGTGTGCACCACACTATGCCTACGGTCAACAACAAGACAAGAACGAACCAAAATGGTACTTTTTGTTGTTGGGCCCTGCCCAGGGGACCTGTCTGTGTCGGATAACCTTTTTCCGGGCACCCTTGATTTTTGTGCTACAGCAATATGATTGCGCCTGTTGCGACATGCCGAGCATCGTGTCCACAGACGCGAACACCCACCCTATTGTCCTCTTACAAACCAGACGCCAACCGTTCCAGCTATCTGCACACTTGCATCGTCTACGGGGTTGCTGCGTAGACTACACCGTCGGCTTCATTATTCGCACGTTTCTAGGCCGTCATCGGCACTTATTTACCTGGTGTTGCTACAATAGTGAAGCAACACATCCATCCGCCCTCTAAAAGCTTCAAAATGTTGATATCGTACGCACACAAGGTCATAGCTGCACTACACTTGAGTCCCAATACTGTGAGAAAAACTACCGCAGGTAGCCGGCAAGGTGTGCGCTCAATAATTACTACGATCACCGTAGTTTGTGAGGGTTATCTCCTGCTAGAACATGTGCCATGAGCGTCTCTCTCAGCTTCCATTTCGGCGCGCACCCCGTGGCCGGATCTGAGCTGTAACGTAGGGTCAAGCGACCGCAGTGCCTAGGTCCGCCGTTGTGCGCGCTGTCGGGCGTGGTCCAACTCATTGGCAATTCCTAGCCTGGGACGGGCCTGCCCGTGGTGACAACCATAGAACGGGAGAACGGGCATAAAATCGAGCATGGGCGTGTGGAAATCGGCGACAGTTACGATGTTTGCCCTGCGAGCAAAGCCAGTACAGTTATGAACACGGTCGGCTTCCAACTACTACATGGCGAAAACGTTTTTGCGTATGCGGAACACTCACATGTGCACATGTGTCCCGCCACGCATTAGCATTCTTTGGAAGAATGATACTCTGGCGGTCTCGTTGTCAATGATCTTGTGTGAGATTGGGCCGCAGGCCTCCCTACTGCTGTAGTTACATTGGCACCAGCGCCATTCTGTAGGTTTGAGTCAGTTACGTTGGGCGGCACGAGCACCGTCTGGGGTACAACCCATTCATTACTAATTACCGCGGCCATACGATTTGTTCGTGAGGGCGTGTGCTGGTGTGAGATCCAATCCGGTTAGACGAATGCGTACAACAGACTAGGATTTACATAGCTCCTAGAACTTCAACATACCGGAGCTTGTCGTGGCGAAAATGAGCAGTCGTACGAATAAGTCTAGATTAAGCCCCTGGCGCGGCATGGCGACGTGTTGCTTGCGACGTGCATGTGCTTCACATGGTGCCGGTGGTATTGAACGTCACAGTAAACCTTGGAGGGAGATTTTTTTGAGCACTATCACACGGCCATTCGAAACCCCCACCTTTGCGCGTAGGACCAGCTGTACTCCTCGTTGACCCAATTTTCGCCGGGCTCACCCACCGCTAGTTTAGCCAATACCTGCTTGGTATTGGCATCGGTCCGGCCAGGGAACACATTTTAGTGGAAATGAGCAACGCCACGCAACGCCGGGCTACACTGTTTGAAGCTCACGTACCGAGATGACATGCGTTCTCTCCATGTGTCGTGCTATTCCTGTGTCGCACTCACCTTGTACACCTCCCGATCGTCTCGATGCGCGAGGTCTAAGTCGTAGGTGCGGTCGGGCTTCTTGGGATTGTAAACGTTCAGGGGGCCTATCCTCCACAGAAACTCGTCGGACTCAGCCTGTGGGTCAAGGGGCGGATTTGCGCAGGGTATGTATTCGATAAATTTCGCAACCGATGTTTTAATTAAGTTGGACGACGCACAGTTACGCGAGGCGGTGGGTGGTACATGTGCACCACAAGCAGTAGAAGTAGGTACATCAGGGGAAATGAAGGCAAGCTTGGTGTATCGAGAAAAACTTTCGGTCCTAGTCCGACATACGCGCTTGCGTGAACTCGTCCAAAATCAGATCGGTGTCCTCCAGATTGACCAGGCGTCCGAAGAGCGTGGTGGCGACAATGACCCGGAGGAAGTCGCATCTCGGAAAGAAGTTCATTGTCGTGATCACCTGTTCTTCGCAGCCATTGCCAAGAAACATGCGTAGGATATCAAAACAGATTGCACGTTACAGTAGTCGTTCGCCACGAACTCGAGACAGGATGGGTGGGTATCGCCACGTTGACAGTCTACTGGACAACGATTGATCATGACACCCGAAGCACAGTTCTGAAGGCTTCGGGGGGGGGGCAGAAACGCGGCCCTAGCGCCTCGCACGCCAGCGCATACATCGTAACAAGATTGGGGGCAACGGGCTGTTGCGTTAACAGCGGCGTACGAGAGCCATGGGACCGCTCCTCGAAATTCGGTTGTCGAACAAAACCTGCAGGGCAGCGAACGAGTCACCATCGTCATCCAAGATGGATGTGCATACAGGAGTAAGGGACATGCCCGTGGTTGCAATTTCGAGGCCGTCGTGCTTCGCCGTGAGCCAGTGATGAAGCATCTGCACCTTAAGCTCGCACAGCTTACTCAGGGCCAGCTTATAGTCTTGCACTTACTGTGATCGAGTGTACAACGGCGGCCGCGGCGACGGCGGAACGAGGGTGCATTTGGTGTCGAAAGTGCCCCTAAAGCGACGAAAGCGCCCACGCTGCAGCTGTTTGTGGTTAGGGCTAGGGCAAGTGATCAACCCATATCCCGCATGTTCCTGAGGGCTACTCCTGTGCTTCTCCTGATCCAGCACTATGAATGGGCAACCCGCTCCCCTTTAGGTCAACTAGCTAGAGGGAGTCGAGCGATGGCGGGGAAAACGACACGTCGAAAACAACTAAAATGACAAAGAAGGAGGTACTGAATACTCGTGCCTCGCACCGAACCTGAGGTTTGCCGATGACCTTTCGCCACTTGAGCGGCATGTGATACAGCGGTTTTTGCTTGTCACCGAAGCCAGGCTTCGACTTCGTCAAGTCGGGGGGCTCATTCTTTCCGGATCCGGGTGCTGCTATTGGCGATGCCGCTCTCACAATCGCATCCCCGACGCCTTGTGCGGAAAATCATGCGCGAGATTCCGGGTAGGTAACACCAGATCAATCTATCGCCGATGTGTAAAGGCAAGACCCCACGATATGGCACACAATTAGCGGGTTCTTCATCGTGAGTTTACCCTCAATCTCGGTCTTCAACAAAAACGCGGATGTTGGCTAAGCCTCGAATCGCACTAGTGACATGCCGAGCTGTTGACAGGCAGGCCACAGTGATACCCAGCCCCGTCGACGTAACCTCGATCGTCATGTAGCTCGTTTTGCTTTTGGTTCCCCTCATCGCCGTTCACCTCTTCATTAGGCGGATCTTCACGCTTGGGGTCTGGTGGGAGTTCACCTGACAGACACATTCGGCAGGGCACGCATAGGTACCATGTTTTCTTCGACCTTCGCATCATGTGGAGGTGAGGGGTGAGGTTTCGGCGCGGTTGCATACCATTCACATCCGTGCAGTCGACACGACGTCGCCGCACAGCGGGACTGGCGGCTGCACCCACCTCTCCCACCATCAAAAACGTGTCACAACACAAATGACCCACGGAAATTGGACTGCACCAACAAAACCAGGGGTAAAATGAAAAGAAAGGCAAAGGTGCACCACAACAAGGGTATATTCTTGAATTATCCACCATTCAAGCGGAAATATGTAGCCTAAACCCTGACAATCGACACAAGCTCTGAGCTGCGCTCACCGCCGGGGGTAGAACCTGCCTTGTCGCCGCTCTCATTTCCTTTGCTTTCTCCCGATAGTACCGAACCGCGAGGACCGATTTCCACGTCTTCGTCGGGCACAAGAG